TTTCTTTGATTTTTCTGAGTAAATAAGTTTTGCGTAAAGAACTGGCGCTGATAATTCATCTTTTTTTGTTTTCTTTTTTCCTTTCTTATCTGTATATTCTATTTGTTTATAGTAAAATGGTGAAGATAGAGATGATGCTAGATCTGGACCATATTCATTCTCTAAATGTTGCTGAGAAAATTTTATTACATTATTAATAACATCAAAAAATGCTTGCTCTTTATTATTAGGTTCACTATCTTTAGACCAAAGACATACTGGAATACTATAACCAACCAATTTACCTGTTTCTTGATTTTTCTTTTCATTAACACCAAAACTGAAAAGAACTGGAGTTTCAACTACAAGTGTTCCTTTTTTTCCATTTGGGTATTTGACTTCAATTGGAATACGTTGGTATTTTATTTTACTATCTTTGACTTTGTAATCTTTGGCTTCATTAAAGATAATATTCTCTTGGGTAATGTTTTCGTAACTTGACAACTGCATTTTATAAATATTTATTTAATCTTTAAATCATAAAACAATTTTTATTTTTTAGGCCAAAGTAAATGAACTGACCAAAAGTTTGATGATTCTGGATTAGCATGAGTTAATTCTCCCTTTTTATTTTTAATCTTCATAGCACGAGACAGATATTTATCTCTTCTCTCTTTATCTTTATGAATAGTGAAGTCTGGATATTTAGGTGACCCAAAATGAACTTTCTTTCCACCTGGAAGTGTAGCCATGTATTTGTTATTTTTACGAGATGAATAATTAAGTGATTCAGCACCAAGTTTTTTAGCATTTTTGATTAATCTCTTAAAATCTGGTCCTTCAAGAATGTATCTCTGGGGTGGAATGTAATCTGGATCCTTATCATGTTGATAATCATCATCAACTATAAAATCCAAATCCTCTTGATTAGGAGTAGTTTCTCTTGATCTTGTTTCCATTTTTTATTAGTTGGTTATATTAATTCTTCTTCTGATCCTGATTTTAACTTTTGTTTACTTCTATATATTTTCTTTTTCATACTCTTCTCTATACAAATCAGGAAACATTAGATATTTATAAAAAGAATCTAATGGCTCATCATTTGCAACAGCACTAATAATACCAGTAATAATCCTCTTTGAAGAATCAATAATATGATCATCTAAATAATGATAAAATTCTTCACAATGATATTTAACTTCTTTTTCAATGAGTATTGGATGTGTTTTCAAAAGACAATTTAAATTATCAAAAATAGAGTAATATCTATATAAATTTTTTGCATATAATAGTTTATTTTCATCACCACTATCTTTTATTTTTTTAATTGATTCACGTATTATTTTTTTTCTTCTTTTATCTTTCCAACCAACCTCAACCTCAATTTTATGTCCATTATCTTCTAATTCTTCATCCATTTATATATATATATATATTTATTATTTAAGTACTAATTCTTTTAAAAACTTGTAACATAAAATGTTAAAAGTTTAAAAATCATCATCACTATCACAATATTCTATTATATTAATCTTATCAAAAAAACAACAACCAACTTTGTAATTAGTAACAAATCTTGTGCCTTCGTAACGTAATAAATGTGTTGCATTTTTAAACAAACCATACATTTCTTCCCTTGCATCGTAATAACTTTCTTTTACATTAATTCTATTAATCTTATTAAAAAATTCTTTTAAATCAATGCTACCATCTTCCACTGATTCAACTGTTTGTGAAATATTTCTATCAATAACTTTAAATAATAGGTAATCAACTTCACTATCAAATATCAATCCTCCTACTTTGAATTGATTATAAATATTTGTTTGACTTTTTTCTTTGCTTTTCGTTTTAAAACCCATTTCTATTTTATTATATTTTTTTCTTTAAATCAATTTTTATTTTCTGATTCAATATCACTTTCACTATTTATTATACAGTAGTTAGTAAATGCTGACATCCCACTCACTCAGATTACATTTTTTTGTATTCTACATCTTCGAGCAATGAGAGCGATTACTTGTGAAAGAATGTAGCAATACGAATGAGTTTTGTGAAATGATTGAACTGAGTGAAATGAGTGAGCAAAGCGAACGAATTGAACGAAGCGAACGAATTGAACGAAACGAATGAGTTTTTGCGAAATGATTGAACAAGAGAGCGATGTTGCGAGATGAGGTAGAATACAAAAAATGTAATCTGGGTGAGTGGGATGGCAGCATTTACTAACTACTGAAACATAAGTGCTAACTTGCTCATATTTACCAACAAAGCTTCAAGCCATGTTGTTATTGTTTAATAAAAGTGAAAGCCTAGAATGTGCCAAAGTTGTTGTTTTGAAGTTGGGTGCCATCCTTTACTATAGCGGAATCCATTTGAAACCTCTAAAATTAAGAAAAAAAATATCGCGAAGATCTGAATAGGCACATTCCACAAAAGATAAACGAATTCGCCTCGTTGGCACTTGCTGGAAGGTACCCCTAGTTGTCTGCATTGTAAAATGAAAGCGGTAGTAAATAGAACCTGTCTAATTATGTTGGTAGGTAGATGGTTTGTTCAGAATCACTTTACAATGCAATCAGCAGTCGAATCGAGCAATCTTTTACAATAAAATGCAATTACTATGATAATTTATAATTTACAAATTATATATATGATTTGTGTAAAAAAGAACAAGTACCCGTGCAGTAGTGAGAGGGAATGTGACGTGTAATACTCTTAAGCAGGTTGGGGAGATAAGCAAGAAGGCCGTCATGAAAGACGAGACACGTATACTCGCTGATAATGTGCATGCAATTGCAGAAAAACTAAACTAGCTCATGATTACTTTGGCTTCCTAGCTCTTTTAGGGTCCCTAATTCTTTACAAATGGAGAAACCAAGACAGTTCAGAGGGCCTAGGACGTTCAGCACTGGTAACTAAAGCACCGTGCAAACGGACGCAACATTGTTGGCCACCAACTCCCAACATTGCATGTTAAAAGTACATGTTGCGTCCGTTTACACTCCCTGTCTCATGTTGTTGCGTGTCATCGCGCGTTGTTGGGAGTTGTTGCGGAAAGTTTGAAACAAAACGCACGCAACAGCTCCCACATTTCTTCGGCTAACAATGTGTTGGGAGTTGCTGCGTCCATTTGCTCGTAGCGTAATTCGATAGGCATTTCGTTAAGTACATAGCAAACTAAAAACAAAACGTTAAAGCGAGTGTTTATTTTAGTAGCACTACCGTAGGTGGCACTCTGCAAGGCATGATTCATAATAACTAGGACTTTTGCCGGTGGTGCTTGAAGGGAAACCGGGCCAAACTGCCTCTGGCTGTCTAATCTTAGCAGGTACCGGGCATGTCTAAGTTAACAATCCTCAAAAACGAATGCCGATGTGCATGTTACTGAAATTGGTTGTATGCGTGTTGGATCCCACCTTCATTAACAAATCTACTAAAAGAAATTGGACCATTTTTTTTTTAATAATTAGAAGAAAGCCAACTCGCCTCTGCCCAGTATCCTATCGATTACACCAAGCTAACCGGAGACGTTTTCTTGCCGGGAACGTGCTTTAAACAGTCGATAAGCCTTCTCTCCCACATTTCCTTTTCAATCAACTTTGGGTAATCAATATAGCTTCTCTGCCTCAGTGCTTTAGGAAGCTTCCTTGTGTCAACACCGTCATATTTAATCACAATAACACTGTCATCTCCTCTATTCAATGATCGGCCTAAAGCCATATCCATTTCCTGACTGCAATATTTACTTTTGAAAAAGTTGCGGGACACAACAGCAATGATTTTCCTGCTTTTATAAACACTGTCGGCCATGTTTTCGCGAAACGGTTTTCCAACAACAAAATCTCTATGGTGAACACAACACCTCAAACCATGTTTTTCTTCAAGAATTGGACAGAGAATCTTATAAACCCACTTTTCGTCTGCAGAGCTGTATATGATGAAGGCGTCGTAATCAACATCCTGTTCATGTTCTTCTGGAAGATAACATTAGAGAATAACTGTAAACAAAAAAACCAAACTGCATTTTACCCGAAACGACTAAGATTAATATGATAACACGCGGATGATCTCAGAGGGTGCTAATAAACCACTGAGGGAACAGCACTGAATTGCGCCAAAAAATGAAATAAATAGAAATTAAAATTTAGAAAAACCTTGTTAAATTCGTGTCTAACCATCGAGGTTCATCATTCAAAAGGAATACAGTACAGGCTCTTACACAAATTGTAATATACGTTTTTCTTTCCTCCTACTAAACTTCCTGAATTGCTTGGAAGTTCATTTTTGTTTTCTCAAACGAGCACCTGAAATAACATAAAAAGCTACGATTTTTGTCTCGTAGAGGATGTGAAACTCCGTATAATTTTACAAAAATCAAGCAATACTGACCTCGTGCTGGTTGTCTTCGTGTGCTTAAGTACCGAAAGTACCAGCAAGCTGAAACAGTCACAACTAGTAACACGAAGATCGAAGGTGCAGTGATGATTAAAATTTTCTCGCGTGAATCCTTGTTGCCTGATATGGGACCAAAAAAGAAGAAACAAAGAAAAATAAATAAATAAATATGCATAATTAGAGCAGTAGCCCAGGTGCTAATAATGTGAGCAGTGCCAAAGTTTAAAAGGAACTGTCAAGATTGCTGAGAAATAATATTTTGTCAAACATCGGGTTGAACTGAGATTGCATGGTACAAAATACAGAAAGCTCTGAAAGGCCAACAACAAAAGAAAAGCAACAACAGAAACAGCAACAGTAGCAGCAGCAATCGTTATCACCTATGATTTGTCCTTCGTGTAATAGTCACTGACAGAGTCTAATCTGTTACGCCAGGCCACAGCGAGAATGCTCATAAGCAGTGTAGCTTTTTGAAGGGTCATAAAGAACATGGGCTGTAACATATGAACACATGTTTTTTTGTTTGCTTGTTTGTTTTTTGTGTTGTCTTGTTTGTTCTGTTTTGTTTCGTTTTGTTTTTTGTCTAATGCAGCTTGTTAGGGTTTTTTTTGTACTGAAAACATCGTAAGAGAAAAAACATGGTCGAGTACCGAACAAGCCACAAATGAGACAGTCGCTAAAAAATCCTGGAGGTACCTTTTGCAAATTCAGACAGATATATATAAAAGACATGTAAACTGTACTAAAACAAACAAACCAACATACATTTTCCACACTCACCTTTAGACAGAGATGCAGAAATACTCTCTTGGCTTACTTGACCTTAAGAACAAAAAATTGCAGCTCGTTCTCTTATATCGTTCTCATTTTCTTCAAACTAAAGCTGAAACACTGACTGATAATTTACACAAATATAGTATATACTTACTTGTAGATGAAGACGATGAAGATTGATTTATTGTCTCTGTTCAGAAAGAAAAAGAAATGACCCAGTTGGATGGCAGTGAAGATATCAATTCGTTCCGACAAATCGATCCCTTTGGTAAACAACTTGTGTTAAGAAAGCAATCCAGGCACAGAACTGTAAAGGTTTGAACCGCAGGAGTCATTTCATTAAGCAGTGATGTTATAGGGCTGTGTAGATTCTAGAGTCTTCATAGCCAATGAAATCAAGGCTTAACTTATAGACGACCAATAACGTTCCGACTTAATTGACCAATCAGGTTAATAAAAAGAGTTAAATTTAATCAACAGACGCGATGCAACTGACGTTGGCTCTAAAGATGTCTACTGCACACGTTGTCGAAACGTCTGTCACTGTCAACAACAGTTCTATTCAGGACCACACTTGCCCGGAAAATCATAATCATAATCCACCTACGTATGAGAGAAATAACTGATAGGTATCGAAGCGAACGAATTGAACGAAACGAATGAGTTTTTGCGAAATGATTGAACAAGAGAGCGATGTTGCGAGATGAGGTAGAATACAAAAAATGTAATCTGGGTGAGTGGGATGGCAGCATTTACTAACTACTGAAACATAAGTGCTAACTTGCTCATATTTACCAACAAAGCTTCAAGCCATGTTGTTATTGTTTAATAAAAGTGAAAGCCTAGAATGTGCCAAAGTTGTTGTTTTGAAGTTGGGTGCCATCCTTTACTATAGCGGAATCCATTTGAAACCTCTAAAATTAAGAAAAAAAATATCGCGAAGATCTGAATAGGCACATTCCACAAAAGATAAACGAATTCGCCTCGTTGGCACTTGCTGGAAGGTACCCCTAGTTGTCTGCATTGTAAAATGAAAGCGGTAGTAAATAGAACCTGTCTAATTATGTTGGTAGGTAGATGGTTTGTTCAGAATCACTTTACAATGCAATCAGCAGTCGAATCGAGCAATCTTTTACAATAAAATGCAATTACTATGATAATTTATAATTTACAAATTATATATATGATTTGTGTAAAAAAGAACAAGTACCCGTGCAGTAGTGAGAGGGAATGTGACGTGTAATACTCTTAAGCAGGTTGGGGAGATAAGCAAGAAGGCCGTCATGAAAGACGAGACACGTATACTCGCTGATAATGTGCATGCAATTGCAGAAAAACTAAACTAGCTCATGATTACTTTGGCTTCCTAGCTCTTTTAGGGTCCCTAATTCTTTACAAATGGAGAAACCAAGACAGTTCAGAGGGCCTAGGACGTTCAGCACTGGTAACTAAAGCACCGTGCAAACGGACGCAACATTGTTGGCCACCAACTCCCAACATTGCATGTTAAAAGTACATGTTGCGTCCGTTTACACTCCCTGTCTCATGTTGTTGCGTGTCATCGCGCGTTGTTGGGAGTTGTTGCGGAAAGTTTGAAACAAAACGCACGCAACAGCTCCCACATTTCTTCGGCTAACAATGTGTTGGGAGTTGCTGCGTCCATTTGCTCGTAGCGTAATTCGATAGGCATTTCGTTAAGTACATAGCAAACTAAAAACAAAACGTTAAAGCGAGTGTTTATTTTAGTAGCACTACCGTAGGTGGCACTCTGCAAGGCATGATTCATAATAACTAGGACTTTTGCCGGTGGTGCTTGAAGGGAAACCGGGCCAAACTGCCTCTGGCTGTCTAATCTTAGCAGGTACCGGGCATGTCTAAGTTAACAATCCTCAAAAACGAATGCCGATGTGCATGTTACTGAAATTGGTTGTATGCGTGTTGGATCCCACCTTCATTAACAAATCTACTAAAAGAAATTGGACCATTTTTTTTTTAATAATTAGAAGAAAGCCAACTCGCCTCTGCCCAGTATCCTATCGATTACACCAAGCTAACCGGAGACGTTTTCTTGCCGGGAACGTGCTTTAAACAGTCGATAAGCCTTCTCTCCCACATTTCCTTTTCAATCAACTTTGGGTAATCAATATAGCTTCTCTGCCTCAGTGCTTTAGGAAGCTTCCTTGTGTCAACACCGTCATATTTAATCACAATAACACTGTCATCTCCTCTATTCAATGATCGGCCTAAAGCCATATCCATTTCCTGACTGCAATATTTACTTTTGAAAAAGTTGCGGGACACAACAGCAATGATTTTCCTGCTTTTATAAACACTGTCGGCCATGTTTTCGCGAAACGGTTTTCCAACAACAAAATCTCTATGGTGAACACAACACCTCAAACCATGTTTTTCTTCAAGAATTGGACAGAGAATCTTATAAACCCACTTTTCGTCTGCAGAGCTGTATATGATGAAGGCGTCGTAATCAACATCCTGTTCATGTTCTTCTGGAAGATAACATTAGAGAATAACTGTAAACAAAAAAACCAAACTGCATTTTACCCGAAACGACTAAGATTAATATGATAACACGCGGATGATCTCAGAGGGTGCTAATAAACCACTGAGGGAACAGCACTGAATTGCGCCAAAAAATGAAATAAATAGAAATTAAAATTTAGAAAAACCTTGTTAAATTCGTGTCTAACCATCGAGGTTCATCATTCAAAAGGAATACAGTACAGGCTCTTACACAAATTGTAATATACGTTTTTCTTTCCTCCTACTAAACTTCCTGAATTGCTTGGAAGTTCATTTTTGTTTTCTCAAACGAGCACCTGAAATAACATAAAAAGCTACGATTTTTGTCTCGTAGAGGATGTGAAACTCCGTATAATTTTACAAAAATCAAGCAATACTGACCTCGTGCTGGTTGTCTTCGTGTGCTTAAGTACCGAAAGTACCAGCAAGCTGAAACAGTCACAACTAGTAACACGAAGATCGAAGGTGCAGTGATGATTAAAATTTTCTCGCGTGAATCCTTGTTGCCTGATATGGGACCAAAAAAGAAGAAACAAAGAAAAATAAATAAATAAATATGCATAATTAGAGCAGTAGCCCAGGTGCTAATAATGTGAGCAGTGCCAAAGTTTAAAAGGAACTGTCAAGATTGCTGAGAAATAATATTTTGTCAAACATCGGGTTGAACTGAGATTGCATGGTACAAAATACAGAAAGCTCTGAAAGGCCAACAACAAAAGAAAAGCAACAACAGAAACAGCAACAGTAGCAGCAGCAATCGTTATCACCTATGATTTGTCCTTCGTGTAATAGTCACTGACAGAGTCTAATCTGTTACGCCAGGCCACAGCGAGAATGCTCATAAGCAGTGTAGCTTTTTGAAGGGTTATAAAGAACATGGGCTGTAACATATGAACACGTTTTTTTGTTTGCTTGTTTGTTTTTTGTGTTGTCTTGTTTGTTTTGTTTTGTTTCGTTTTGTTTTTTGTCTAATGCAGCTTGTTAGGTTTTTTTTTTGTACTGAAAACATCGTAAGAGAAAAAACATGGTCGAGTACCGAACAAGCCACAAATGAGACAGTCGCTAAAAAATCCTGGAGGTACCTTTTGGAAATCCAGACAGATATATATAAAAGACATGTAAACTGTACTAAAACAAACAAACCAACATACATTTTCCACACTCACCTTTAGACAGAGATGCAGAAATACTCCCTTGGCTTACTTGAGCTTAAGAACAAAAAATTGCAGCTCGTGCTCTTATATCGTTCTCATTTTCTTCAAACTAAAACTGAAACACTCACTGATAATTTACACAAATATAGTATATACTTACTTGTAGATGAAGACGATGAAGATTGATTTATTGTCTCTGTCCAGAAAGAAAAAGAAATGACCCAGTTGGTTGGCAGTGAAGATATCAATTCGTTCCGACAAATCGATCCGTCAAGTTGGTGTACAACTTGTGTTAAGAAAGCTATCAGGCATAGAACTGTAAAGGTTTGAACCGCAAGAGTCATTTCATTAAGCAGTGATGTTATAGGGCTGTGTAGATTCTAGAGTCTTCATAGCCAATGAAATCAAGGCTTAACTTATAGACGACCAATAACGTTCCGACTTAATTGACCAATCAGGTTAATAAAAAGAGTTGAATTTAATCAACAGACGTGATGCAACTGACGTTGGCTCTAAAGATGTCTACTGCACACGTTGTCGAAACGTCTGTCACTGTCAACAACAGTTCTATTCAGGACCACACTTGCCCGGAAAATCATAATCATAATCCACCTACGTATGAGAGAAATAACTGATAGGTACACAGATAGCGCAGTCTTATTACTGTCTCTTCAGTCTTATACTCCTGTCGGATACTGGTCTTTCTAGAACAAAAGGAAATAGCTAGTAACATGAAACGTGAAAAGTTACCAGGAGTTCTCGCAGTAAGGACAACTTCTTCTCCTGAAAAGGAAAAAAAAAGCCTAAATAAACATGTTCACGAAAATCCGTTTATACTTGATCAATGCATTTTCTCTTCTCCGGGCGACAGTTAGAAATATATAGATGTATATATTTTTTGTAATCCTTCCATGCTAGGGGGTTTATTGATCATGGCGATGTACGTGTATCAAGTTCACATTTTTGTTGTTGTTTTTCCTTACCCTCGCTTGTTTGTGATGGAGACGTAGTTCCTTGATTTTCTAGATGAAATTAAAGAGATTGCAAAAAAGATATTTTACCACACCTGTGGTAAAATGTTACAAGGAAATGAATACTAAGGAAAAAGCTAAATGTGGATAAATTAGGTTTACTAAAACCACTCTGGGATTCATTCATTTGCAGAATTGTTTTTTTTTTTCTTATTTATTCATTTATATATTTATTCTAAGGCGAAATAACCAGTGCAGACGCAACTGCTGTACACATACGTGGCAAATTGATGAACCCTATATTTCTAATAGGCCCTTTGCAGGACTTGATCACGTGACCATTCTTAAGCAAAAATTATGGCATACTATTACAGCTCTAAAAATGCCTCAGATGGAAAGAGAACGAGAAAATTAGCCAGAAGACGAATTTTGAGGAGACTGACACATAAGACTAAGATTTTATAGCTGCTGGAATGTCTGAAAAAAGTTGCTGGGACGCATGGCGTGCGATCCAGCGATTTATTTCATACAAATCCTTATAATTTTCTAGAAATTCAAGCAGCTATAAAATCTTAGTTTTATGTGTCAGTCCCCTCAAAATTGGCCTTCTGGCTAATTTTCTCGTGCTCTTTCCATCTAAGGCATTTTAAGAGCTGTATCCCATAATTGCTGCTTAAGAAGGGTCACGTGACCAAGTCCTGCAAAGGGCCTATTAATTCCTATTCTGGTTTTTACATTTTCCTTTTTTCCTTAACAGCGTTGTTGCAGTTGCGCATTTACAAAAAATGATTACGTAATATATTTCAAAAGCTCAAAGAAATGACAAAGCAAATGAGTATTTCTTTTATTTTGCCCATCAAATGTTCTAAATGTACAGTCTGATAACAGTCTTCAAGAAAACGGCATTAAACTTGAATAGCCCAAAATAGTCTAAAATAGACTGGAATAAAATGAGAACTAAGATAAACTGAATACTTTNAATTTTCTAGAAATTCAAGCAGCTATAAAATCTTAGTTTTATGTGTCAGTCCCCTCAAAATTGGCCTTCTGGCTAATTTTCTCGTGCTCTTTCCATCTAAGGCATTTTAAGAGCTGTATCCCATAATTGCTGCTTAAGAAGGGTCACGTGACCAAGTCCTGCAAAGGGCCTATTAATTCCTATTCTGGTTTTTACATTTTCCTTTTTTCCTTAACAGCGTTGTTGCAGTTGCGCATTTACAAAAAATGATTACGTAATATATTTCAAAAGCTCAAAGAAATGACAAAGCAAATGAGTATTTCTTTTATTTTGCCCATCAAATGTTCTAAATGTACAGTCTGATAACAGTCTTCAAGAAAACGGCATTAAACTTGAATAGCCCAAAATAGTCTAAAATAGACTGGAATAAAATGAGAACTAAGATAAACTGAATACTTTCTCCTTGTATAGCTTTTTTGTTGTTGTTGTTAATTATTATTATTTTTGTTTTTATTGTTTTGATTTTTCTGTTCATCGTAAAGAAGAGGAGTTTATTGGTTTTACTGATGATTCAGCTCTTGCAGGTACGTGGCCAAAGGTCTTTCTAGGGCAAAGGAAAAGGCTTAGTAATAAACTGGGTAAGCGTAAAAAAATTACAGGGTGGATTCGTAGTCAGGTGGACTTCTTTTCTTGAAAACAATGAACAAATACAATGTATCTAAATGTCAAGTGTTTATATTCGGTCATCAGTTACATAAGTAGTGGTTGTTACATAAATCATCCAATAATTATATAAGTGATATGACGATCTACCTGACGACTTATATTTTTTTATGGACAATTAACGTAAGTATATTCAATTTTAGTCAGCGATAGCGCTTTATGAATTATTGGCCCGGATATTTAGACCATTCAAAAACGGAGAAATATTTTGAATACCGGATTAAAAAAGCAAAAAAGCAATGTTATTTCTTCTGTGGATCGACTTTGAATGACAGCTGTTCGATTAAAAGTCATATTTTTCATTACCTACCAGTCACTTTCACTAAAGCAATTGAAAACAAAGAATCGATCTGGTCTCGTTATTGGCTAGAGTAAAACGAGCTTAGGCTTCTAAAAATAGCATCTTTACTTTGCAAGTACTCTTAAAATAATTACCGGTTGGCGGCCTAGTCAGCTGCGGTATCCTTTTTCCTGTGACAAGAAAGAGAGTTAAAAGGACAAAAATGGCATCATCAATGTCATATTCTGGTATCATGTAATTTGATTGCACATTTAACACTCTATGGCATTTTAATGCAACTTTGATAAAGGTGAAGACAGTAAATAACAGCTAGCGCGCAAGAAGATATTACCATTAACTTACGTTTGAGTTTAACAGGAGTACCTGGTGTAAGTGGAAGAGTAAGTACCTGGTAAAAAAAGTGAATGCGAGAATCAGTCCATTAAAAATCCTTGCTGTAATTACCAACCCAGGGGCCCGTTTCTCGAAAGTCCCGATAATTAACGGGCCCGGTAAGCTGTCTCCGTTTGCATTAAAGACCGAGGTTTCAATAGTTTTGCATCTAACACGATAAAACTGTCAGTTAATGAACAAAATGGAGTAGTTTGCTAGCCAGGACCCACGCTCTTATTCTTTATATTTCGATTTGAATATTTGATTTCGGGCCCGTAAAGTTACCGGGACTTTCGAGAAACGGGCCCCAGCACAGGATATGTGTGAAATAATCGCAAACAAAGGTAGTCAAGTAAGGTAGGCAATACGACGGTAGAACGTCCCCCGTTTTTCTGAGCAGTGTAGATTCAGCGACAAACTTGTCATCTGAACTGAGATGGGAAATACGTGTCTTGAAGAATCTCTTGAATCTCGGGAAAAGAGTGGAAAAACAGTAGGCCGGGAAATAAAGAGGAAAAATAAACATACGATCTAACTCGATGACAACTCGATGGAGTCGATCGCATGGCAGCGAGACATCCACGATTTCACAACGCAGCGAAGACATACACCTGGCCAATTGTTATTTTGAAAGCATTTTCCTCGTGGAAAATTTAATCCCCCTAAAAACTGACTAAAACATTTTTTACAATTCAAGTCTAGCACTAAGCTGGCTTCGGTTGCTGATGCCAAATTACAGTTTCCTAAGTTACAGACTCTTTTGTCGCTAAAAAATTTGAACATTAATCCGACTTATAGGTAGGCAACCCAATATTTCACTCGGTTAAGTGATCCACGTGCGACGCACATTCCTGCAGTTTTATGAACCACGCTTCACGGTGCCTTCGGCCTCGTCTCGCAAAGAATGACATCGTAAATACCGGGAGCATAATTCTATAACACCCTCTAAACGGTTAACCTACCAAAGTAAATCCGAGATGATCTTAACTTACGACCTTGATAGAACTACCTGAAGCGTGAACTAATATAGTAATTAGAGGAACTGTGTCACGAAATTCATCAAGATTCGAACAGTGGAAACCACCAGCAAGTCAGTTTGGTGAAACATAAAAACAATTACTAAGAACATTCTTAATACTCTTCTACACTCGCTTGCTGCTTTTGCTGCAACCTCCAGTACTGTGGCTTTCTATTGTAACCTTTAATAATGACGCAAAGCTACCGCCAAAGTGAATTTTGCGCGAATTCAGTATCGCGAATCCGACCCCAGCTTGGCGGGTTACCCCACCTTGAAACGTGTACATAGCAAAATTTGAGCCCGGCTGAGAGGGTTACCCGGTCTGGCAGACTGGGCTACCCTCCTTGGCGGGTCACCTCACCTATCATGTAAACGTGATCAAATCAAAATGAGAGATTATATGGACAGGTGGGTTACCACACCTTAGCGGGTTACCTCACCTACCTGGGGTCCCCCACCTCCATGTAAGCAGCCCCTTACGTTGTATTTGTCCCTCTCTTTTGGGAACAAATCTTAACAAAGCAAAATACAGCGTCTACGAAAAACTGTCAAGAGTTTTTAGCCTCGGAGGTTCCCGTTTTGAAGAGAAATAAGGCCACCAACTCCAGTACTTCTAACCATCCATTTTTCAGCTGCAATGAAAACCCTTGTATTTGGTAATTTATTCAAGCTTTTTAGACTTGTCATCACATTCGCACGGGAAGTTTACCACTTGGGAATAAAGATGAAGAAAATATGACAATTGTCTTATTCTTCTCATTATCCCCAACAGCAAACTGCCCGTTCCATGATTTTCATTATTGTTTATTAAGAGCCTGTTTATATGAAGGTGGGGGACTCCAGGTAGGTGAGGTAACCCGCTAAGGTGGGGTAACCCGCCTGTCCATATAATCTCTCATTTTAATTTGATCACGTTTACATGATAGGTAGGGTGACCCGCCAAGGCTGGTAGCCCGGTCAGCCAGACCGGGTAACCCTCTAAGCTGGGGTCAAATTTTTCCATGTCAACGTTTCAAGGTGGGGTAACCCGCCTAGCTGGGATCGGATTCGCGATACTGAATTCGTGCAAAATTCACTTTGGCGGTAGCTTTGCATCATTATTAAAGGTAACAATAGAAAGCCACAACACTCAAGGTTGCAGCAATAGCAGCAAGTGAGTGTAGAAGAGTATTAAGAGCGACGGTTAGGAAAAATCGACCAAAATCTTAATTTCGTGCCAAGAGCTGAAAAATCAATTTCTTTCATTTTTTGTTAATAGATAGCTTTAAGGTAGATAAGAAACCTAATGGAGATTGTTCCTGCCAAAAGACTTTTGTTTGTGAGAAAAAGTAGAAGATTGGTTTTCGATGTAGGAGTCTCAGACTGTCCTAATTTTTAACCTGAAATTCGCTAACATCAACTTTCCTCGCGTTCGCAAACGAAGCCGCATGGAGAAATTTGGACACTTTCCACGAATAGAAAAATTCTTTTTCTTCCACTAACAGATACTTTCAGGGTAATAGCGAAGCTCGTCGTACTGAAATAATTCACAAATGAGGGACAGGCTATCAGGATAACAAAAACTAAGTTCGTTACTCATTTTCGACGGCAAAATTTAACAAGTGATATAACTCCAAATTCTCTTCACGGTATTTAAATCAGACATTTAGACAATCATTTAAAGATACTTGGGAATTGGCTTGGGTTGTTGAAGGGAATCTGTGTAAGACACCATCGAAGTTCAGGAATTTTCATGATAGGCCGGCCGTAATTGTGTAAACACTTCAAATTTCGAAACGCACAAAAGTCAGGGGCACCCAACGACAATTTTTTTTCCGGTTGAAAATACGGCCATTTTGAGACTCCTACCACGAAAACTGATGTTCTTACTTTTCTCGAAAATGAAAGGCTTTTTGCGTGAACAACTTACATCAGATTACTTATCTACCTAGAAGCTATTTATGGACAAAAAATGAAGGAAACCGTTTTTTCAACTCTTGCCACTCGATGGTCGATATTTCCTGACCGTCTCTGTTAATGACCAAAAAACGTGGTTTGCAGCATTTTTCTTGTGTACGTTCTTAGTGACCAGACTCAATAACCTTGAGAAAATGTGCCCCGGGATGGCGGGGTTGTAAGATTGCATGTAAAGGAGAGTTACCTTTTTTTACCCCACCCAAGCGGGTTACCTCATCTACCTGGAGTCCCCCACCTTCATGTAAACAGGCCCTAAGTATGCCAAAAATCATAGAAATCGGTTGAATCTTTCATTCTGAAAAACGCAAAGCGAAAGTATAACCAACACGCATATAAATAGGTTCGGGCCACCTCAAGGCTTTTGAAAACTTAGCTTAAGGTGGCTCGACTGGAGTTTTTGGGGTTGATACCTCCCATCGTTGAGCATTATCTACGTCGGCATGAGTAAAGATATGGAAAAAAGGTTACCACAACTGTATTATATTGAGAGCGTTTTCGAAATATTTTGAAAAGTAGTTTTAAGAATAATAAAAACAGTGAAAATAGCATGCTAGCTACACAATTCGCTAATATTTTAAGAAAATTATATTCTTTGGGAACGAGGCTTCATCTCATAGTGGTTTGATTCCATTGAAAACTGCATACGAAAAAAGAGGGGAATTGCTCTGGGCGATCGCGAGTAAGAAGAATTTTATTAACTTGCATTTAGCTGCTTTTGATACAGATTTTGGACGTAATTTGGTCCACGCCTAAAAATTTCGCATTTTTCCAAAAACCACTCGATAATTTTTTTTTATAAATTCGACAATCCTGAGATCAATCGTCAAGAAATATTCCCTGCGAGTTTTAAGAACATTGAAAACAGGTAAGACTTTTAAATAGGGCCTCAAATATAGCCAATTTTCCCCCCAGATTTTGTGTTTACAAGTGAGCGTCCCCATTATTCACTGGCATTGTTTCCAAGTTTCATATACACGTGCACATTTAGCAAAAAGATAGAATTCGCATCAAAAAGGACCCACGGTTAAATCTCCGGGATATGCTAATTACCGGGTAAAGAGATTAATGATACATTATAACATCAGAGCAACTCTTTGTGAGAGTTTCTGTGATTTTATAACCCGAGAAAGATAATTAAGTATTCCATCCTACACGATGAGCCGTGATGTTCACCGTTTCGGCTCTCACTGCATCTGTGACGACAAGCCAATTATTAGCATATTCCGGATATTTCTTCGGATAGTAATAGCTAGTAATCGAGAGTTCTTTTTGATGCAAATTTATATCTTTTGCTAGTTGTGCACGTGCATATGAAACTTGTAGACAATGCCAGTGAATAATGAGGATGCTCACTTGTAAACAAAATATCTGGGGGGAAAATTGGTTATATTTGAGGCCCTATTTAAAAGCCTTCTTGAAACTTGCAGGGAATATTTCTTGACGATTGATCTCAGGACAGTTCGGGTTTCGATAAAACTGCAGTGTTGTCCAGATTGCGTTGGTTGGTTCAAGGAGCAATGCAGTTTCGCCACACAGGGTTGTTGTCTGGCCGATCGAGCAGACCTTACTGTGGTAACACATGGTACAGTTGCAGTACACTCTTACCAAAATTGTTAATAATAATAAAAAATAATTTATAGTTGCTCTACTGCAACTATATGCTGGAAAAGCAATAGTCTTGTGTTAAGTTGGTCAGTGGGCTTCAATCCACTTCAAGCGTTCCAGGAATGAGCTAGCCCTGTTTGAGTTCATAATGCTGTGTTCTTGAACACTCAACTCTAACAATGCCTCACTCCAGTAATAATATTACATTTGGAGGTTCGGGTGGCACACATACATGTAAGAATAAAACCCTAGTATTTAACTGTGAGGATCATTTTCATTTTCATAGATTCTGTTTGTTTTATTTTTTAAAAAGATTTTTTCTAGTCAGACACGGAAGGAATTTAGCAATATTACTGAAGATAAGAGCGACTTTCAGGCCGGACAGCGCAGAAGTTACAGCTAACAGTAACACTCTGGATGTATTTCAGTACAAAACGAGCAACAACAAAGATGGCAGGTCCTACACTTGTGTCAACAATTATTCCCATGCGTCGCAGAGTTTGCTAATATCGCGGGCTCTTAACAATATCAATAATAACAAAAAATATTCTATTTTCTTTTAAGAATAAGAACTGAAGAACCAAAGTGACCTGCAAAACCCACTACTACTCAGAAGTGGATGAAACATATCACTACAAATCTTGTTGTTATCCGTACTAATTAGGTCCATGGGGTCTTTCATTGATGGATTTCAAGACATGGAAATAAGAGTAAGTATAAAAATCAGTTTGATACATGTAGTTGTGGTAATAAAGGTATAAAAGAATACTTGGTCAAAAACTTTACATTATTTGTTGCTTATTTTACACAAATACCTCTATGCATTCAAATCTGGAAGCTTTTGTTTTGGTCTGTTGTATCTGTCTAAATCTATTTGACAAGGCATTTTTGGGTATTGATATTCTGAACTCCCTGTAGCCTCTTTCTAGTATTTTAGTCGTATCTGCTTGACCTCTTATGAGCAATTATTTTGCATAATATCATAGGTGACGAATTACTCCTTAATTTTGGCGCGAAATTTTAGTGTTAATTTGTAATTTCACATGTGAAATTACCAAATTGCCATGGCAACCTGCCGTACGTCTCCGTTTCAAGATGGCGAGGAAGTTTTAAAATGTCATGAATGAAGATGTCGGGGCATAAAAAGACGCTTTAGAAAACCTGAACACACGAAAGAGCACATCAAGAAGGATTCTTAGAGGTATGTGGTGGAAAAATTCTGAAAACTTAAGCCAAATTTTAGCTCTAAACGTTTGAGAGAGTGGAGTTCACGCTCGATCGATACCGATTCAGGATAAACAAGTCAAAAATCCTCGATTGCTAACGTAATTCGTCACCCATGATATTAATAGGTAATCAAATGGTATACTCGTGAAATTAGGGAATAATTTCACTTGCGTTTTGTCCAAATCCTAATAATTTCCCGAGCCTTTAGGCTCGGGAAATTATAAGGATTTGGACAAAACGCGCGTGAAATTATTCCCTAATTTCACTCGTCACCATTTGATTACACATACTAAGTTGATGAGAGGGAAATAGTAGGAGGAAATGGTGAGAATTTGGCATGAGTGGCTTTGATGGAATAGTGATATTTTCCCTATGATATGAAAGAAATATATGTAGCTGTCAAAGAAATATAGCTATCATTAAAATCAATACAAGTGCAGTCCATCCTGACTGATGGTTTGTGTTGAGTGACAGTATAATATATTATTAGTAACTTTATAATTATTTTTTCTTGCAGCTTATGACAATGAAGCTTTGAAAGGGGAAAATGCAGTGGTGATACGATAGGGGAACCATAATAAAATGGTTGTTTTATACTGAGTGGTGTTATTTGCTTAACCTTTAGTGGAATGATTGTAACCTATGCTTGTGTACAAAATACAAATCTTGCAACAACTGCATTGTAAACAGAAGAGGAGAAGTATCTGAGAAGGATACTAGCTCAAATGGGGATGTTAAAGTGTTATATGTTTTTTTTTAGAAATCAAAACTTTAGTGTCATACAATTTTTAAAACTGAACAATTAATAAACAAATAAACATTGTCAAGTTTATTTCCTACTTTCTTATTTTAAGCAAGGAATTCATACAATCTGGGTCACCCTGGTTATGTTTATAAGAACTTGCTTAAGGTACCTGAAACATCATCTTCCGATAATAACTGAAGCACTTCAAAAAGAACTAAACGAAATAAACTGCCCTTATTCAAACGGTGTACACCTGTTTGTCGATATAATATTCACTATCCCAGTGCACATTGAAATAAGAATGTCGGGAAAAAGTAACTTTTCCTCAACAGCCCTTGTGAAATCAGGAAAATCAAGGCCAAAATTGCGCTTACTTAGGGTATATATGCACGCTATAAGGTAGCGTTCACTTTCCTAGGCTCTGGTGAATTGAGAACTTGAGTGAGATCAGGCGGCCTACATCGTGCGAAGAAGTCGTAAACAAGGTTGCTGATTAAAGCTTATAGTTTGCGAGCTTCTGGGAGTCATGTAATTCCAGTAAAGAAAAATAAAGAAAACGACTTTTCGATGGAATTTTCCGCATGTTCTAAAAGTCGATAGATCGGAACGATTCTATCGTATCATGAGTATCTTTGCAGCGGCTTTCGACGCGACATCGCCGCCATTTCTCTCGGCCTTAGTCCTTTTGCGGTCTGAGCAATGTTTTGGTTCTGCGTAAGCCAATCAGATGACAGGAAATCATATATCCAGTTCTGGCTGTGACCCTGACTGATTACTGTTATTAAAGCAAGGCTAAGATTGAAACACAGCTGATACACGAATACTTGATAAATCACCCATAACTCGTTTCCAAGATAAACTGAAACGGTTCTTTACTCACGTCTCTTTTCTAGTGAAGCGCATTGAAAGTACGAAAGCATGCCAAGTTTAAACAATCTTCTATTGAGGCCGTAACGGCGGACAAGGTAAAATAGAAAAGAAGAGAAAGGACCCTGGGATCGAGGCTGTTAGGAAATTGCAGAGTCGGCAGTCCCAAATGAAATAAAGAAATAAGCCTCGTCAAATACGTGCAGACGTATAGTGTCACAAATCTGTTTGGGTTTTTAGGAGTATATAGCCTGTGCTACTCAAATCAACGGTCACTCTTTATGGCAACGCGAGAGGAAAAAAAAAAAACGCTCGCTGAACGTGAAGTCGGGCTAGCAACAATTCTAGGGATTTTTAATTCGCCGTTGAACGAATCAGATCAAATTCGAGACTAAATGAACGCCTAGAGTCAAACATTAATCCGCAATCCACAAATAGAGTCAAGCGGCGAATTTCTCTCTGTCTCCTAGGCTTTTCCGCGTCTCTTCGCACTTCCCTTGTTTGTTTGAACTAGCCAAGTCATTAATATGTTTTTTATTTAATAGTTTTGTATTTTTTTTAAACAGTTAGTGCTATGCCGAACCGGGTTTACTAACTTAATAAAGAAAAGGTAAAGGAGAAAAAATCCTAAAAATAGGAAGGAAAAGAAAAAGAAAAGAAAGAAAGAAAGACAGAAAGCATACAAACTCGATTGCCAGGATGCGAGCTCGCGCTTCTCGTCCAGCTGTTTAATAGCTTCGCGTGCCTGAAACTTCAACACGCAGCCAAGAAAATAAAATACAAGACACGTTCGATCTCTTAATATTATGTCAGGAACAATCACGCGACCCACCGTCTGAAAAAAGAAACACTTCTCACACGGTTTCAAATGAAAATAAGATTAAAGAAAAAGTGACGTTAATCATGCAAATATCTTTTGCAGAAAAAAAAAATAAAGCAGAAGAGAGTGTGACCTTCCAAATCATCTTTTCTTCAATGGCCGACTTTCGCGATGTAGTATCGGTACTGCCAGCAGCCCGACTAATAAAGGCAAGTAGAATCTTTGTGGCTGTTCCTGGCTTTTTGATTGTCATCGTAGTCGAGCACGCAACATTAAAGAAGCGGTAGCCTGTGAATTTATTGTCGCCAAAAAAGGGCGCAATATTCAGTTTTATTTATTTCTTTAAGTCATTCTGCATATATTACATTCCGCATAATTATGCCATATGCCATTCCGCAAACTCATCTGCCTTTTACCCTCACCATAAAGTGTTGCAGTAATTCCATGGAAGCAACGGTTTTCTTTATGTTGGTTGACTTTTCTAAGCTTACCTTGACGCGAAAATACTCATTTCCTTTTAAGCCTTTAGTAAATCTATCAACAATGGCTGATGTAGTTGTCTGAAAGCAATAAAGACAAACATATGTACGCATATGCGTATTGATTGGAGATTTATAGTTGTAGTTTTTGTAGTTGCCTCATTTCACTAATGGTTGAATTCAGCAGTGTTTTTGTTGTTGTTGTTGTTGTTGTTTTTTATCAGTTCTTTATTAGTGTGGATACCCTTTTTTGGCATACCTTGGAACAGTGGAAACGGTTGATAAGCAACTTCATCGGGTTATAGTCGATGCGCCTTGTAATTTTCTAATCATTTGCCACTTTGTTTATCAGTTAAGTACTGAATGATTAAAGTTATTACTAGGGATGGAAGTTATTTATAGGGATTTGAGGTATTGAGAAAACTGACATGCGAACAGGCTCCGAAATGGTGCGGGGCTTAAAAGAAAATCTGCAAGCGAAACAAGCCAAGCAAATAAATAAATAAATAAATAAATAAAAGAAATCAGCAAGCCAAGCAAGTCGAGCACGCCCTGGGGAAGAAAGCAATGCGGGGAAGACTGTAGAATACGTTTTGATGTCGGCCAACAATGATAGAAGATTCTGCTATATATATCATGATCTGATTGGTCATTGGTCCTCATTTCACGAAAAATATCCACGTGCGCACGAATGTTATTGAATTAATATGTAATTTTGGTGGCCGTATCATTATCGAGCATGATCCTCCGGATTCTCCCCCCGGTTGCAGGAAGCAGTAGAGTTAACTAGACAATGGCAACTTATTTGACCGAATGACTCACCTTATTAACGTCTCGGCAACAATAGTCCCAGTAACGCCCCATAATATAAATCAGCCTGTAACCAGTGGAATTGTCTGGTCCTGCTTTGAGAGGAAAACACAGCAAAGCTGAACACAAATAAGAGTGACAGAAAAGAAATTTTAAGACTTGGAAGTAAATTGACGAGATGTTCCCCTCTTGACCAAACACTGTGAAACTCACAACATCGTGAACACCAGACATGTTTATGAAATGTTTTGGTGTTGGGAGGAAATAGCCAATAAGGCGTGGGGAAACTAAACCGCAAACAGTAACGGCAGTTCACTAAGTTTGTGATTTTTGAGGTTTGCTCGCGTGTCCTGAACTTTATTGTGATTGTCTCACTGCACGATCAAATGGTTTCCTCAGTTTTTCAAAGTAAATTGTAAAATTATTTCTTATAATTCCTTTAATTGATCTTAGGTACGGTGTAAACGATCCAATGCTTGGGAACTGGACATTGCATATTCTTGAGATTCTGATAAACTTACCAGGTGAAGGTGTCCACGATACATTTGCATAAAATCTGCCAGTGTCGTGAAGCTTGTGAAATGTTATGGTTATGTTGTTCGCAGGAATGGCATTGACACGCCGTTGTTCATCTTCTTGACATAAGCTTGGTTTAACTTCACAGGTTTCTGTGCGTCCAAAAATAAACTCTTTTAAGTTAAAGCTGTTAACTTCCCAAAATGAATCAACAGTCATAAGTAAGGGAAATGCTTTTGAACTGGCTTAGGCACAGACCATGGGCACAAACGTTTCCTTTTTTATTTTATTTTTTTTTCGTTTCCATTATTGTTGGCTTATTCGACAACCGGGGTGGGGCCGTGGGGGTGTGTGCGCCAGCATTTTCCATTTTGACGTCACTGTTGACTGTGGCGTTTACAGGTTAAAATTTTGTATAGAAAATGGGTCCCAATAAGATGGTTAATTTCAAGCTGTAGTGGTTAATTTGTTATATATGGCGGGTAACTGACATCTCTCGCGGACCACTGAACTTATGCAAATAATAAACTTAGTCTGCGACTACAGCCACCTCTCCTCACTCCTCAACGCTTGGGTTGACCTAGCGGCGACTAGGGAGGAGAGACAGCTGTAATTGACTTACGCTGGCATGTGTGTACATGTACGCCCGCGTTTTCCATTTTTTTGCGTCACCGTTGGTTGTGATGGTTAGAGGCTAAAACGTTGTAGTTTTAAAAGGCTAGTAATATGTTGACTTTCACATTGTTTTAACAATTTAACCCCTAACCCTAATCCTTTCAAAAAAGGAAGCCCTTACAAACTTGTTGAAATATGGTTTGTCCTTTTTGATTAACTTTTTTTTAATCTAGTTTATGCACCCTATATGTGCATGTTTATTTATCTACTTATTTGTTTATTCATTTGCGTCGTTATTTCCTTCGAACAATTCTTACTTTTCTTCGAATCATCGGGACTGATAGAAGCATCTTTTCATGAAAGAAACAAAGGAAAGGTATAACAGTAGGTTGCCAGTTTGCAATCAATACCGATTCCAGGCTAAAGGATAACACAATTCCTTTATTATTATTATTGTTATTATTATTATTATTATTATTATTATTATTATTATTATTATTATTATTATTATTTTATTTTATTATTATTCTTTTTTTTTTTTATTTCCCATTCAAGCATTTGTTGTGATGCGATTTAAATTAATTAAAAATATAGAATGATACTTTGGAGCCAAAAATAGACACTTTCAAGTTAAAGCTGTTCACTTCCCAAAATGAATCAACAGTCATACGTAAGGGAAATGCTTTTGATTAATTGGCTTAGGTCCAAACCATGGACACAAATTTGCTTCCTTTTTTAAATTTTTTTTCGTTTCCAATATTGCCGACTTATTCGACAACCGGGGTGGGGTCGTGGGGGTATGTGCGCCAGCATTTTCCACTTTGACGTCAGTGTTGACAGTTGACAGTGATGTTGAAAGGGGTCCCAATAAGATGGTTAATTTCAAGCCGTCTGTGGTTTATTTCATATTCTGTTTTCGAACATAGTGCTAAACATAATGCTACAGCATATATTCTTTCTGTCACGTACCTGACTATAAAAACTATCTAACTAATAAAGTTAAATACTTTTTTATGAACAGTAATAAAGACTTCTGAACGAATGTCTGTGCCTTGATGGCCAAGCTGAATCAAGCAGTCTATATACAACATTCATTGCAGTTCATCTGACAAAAGGTTTGGGGTTATTTGAAGACTACTGACGTAAGTATCTCTACATTTTTTTTTTTTTCACGTTAAGATGACCATCATCAATCAGATTCTGATTGATTATGAGAGCTGAAGGTGTTTATTGTTTTATTTAATCATGTCTTTCAACTGCCTCAGTGATAATTTTTATACTTGCGTGGCTACAATCTTGGACAAAATGTGTTAAGAATTTTGCACTTACTTACCCACAGGACACCTATCCCATTATGAACTCTCCACTCACCCAACCAGTCAATTTGGGTTCACTAAAGAGCAGAAATCAGACTTCATCATCGCATTTTTTTGGGTGGAGGGGGGGAGAGGGAGGGGATGGGAGATATGACAACATACATTTTTTTCTTGACATTTTTGTACAATATTGGTGGATCAAAGAGGCAGCCTGAGGTGGCTCCCTAAAGCAAATTGACCGTGCTCAGCCTGAGCACTAATATGGCACGAGCTCTAAAATCCGCGCGACGTCCACGCAAAAATAAAACAGACATGGCCTTTCAGTTTCGAAATATTCCTCCCACAAAAATTTATTAACTTTCTGTTGAAGCTCATTGTGCAAAACGCGCGATCTTCACCGATCTCGTACACTTGAAATGTTCCTTGCATCTTTGCTTTACGATCGTATTTCTTTAAGAATTGATGTTTTTAAAATAAATTATTGCCTGAATATTCTGTTTCTAATCTAGTTTCTCTTTAATAAATTAAAGTCAAAAGCCTTTGATAAATCAACGGCCACGGCCATGGCTGACTCTCTGTTGACAAGGCTCCTTCTCCAGTCCTAGGTCATTTTCAGAATAGCGGTGCAACACGAATGGTTCTTCAGAAATCCAGAGAGATTCAGGGACCTCGTCGAGATTTTTGCCGCCGTTATCACGGGAAGACCACGCTGCAATTTTGGCCGCCGAGATTTAGGGATCTCGGCGGGATTCTCGGCAGGATTTTGGCCGCCGAGATTTGAGAACCTCGGCGAGATCTAGGCCAGATTTTGGCCGCCGAGATAAAGGGGTCTCGGCGAGATCTTTCCTTGGTCCAAAGATCTCGGCGGTTAAAATCCTACCGAGAATTTCAAGCTGGTTTCGCGGTGTTTTCTATTTTTCAAGATGACCTCGAGGCAAGAATATCGCTCCAAGCTTTCTTGTTATTGTCTCAAATCTTACGTGCGTAACGTGACGGCATAAAAATGAAACCAGAAACAAAACAACATCAAATGCAATAGAAAATGTACCACAAGAACAGTTCAGTTTAATTCATTCTAGAAAGAGGATTAGTGTGTTTGAACCGTTTCTAAAAACCCTTTGATTTATAACCTTTGATTTATTAACTGAGAATGTTTTTTTTTGTGTTTTTTTTTGTGTTTTTGTTTTTGTTGTTGTTGTTGTCTTTTTTTTATCCCGACCGGCTCCGTTCACGTTTTTTAAACAGGTTAGATGGTGAAAACTAGATGAACGCACCTCGAAGCAAGACTCAAATGAAAGTTTAAAGATTTTTTTGTTTTTTTGTCGGTGTTTGTTTTTCTTGAGTATTAGTGGAACCGTAAGTGACAGGAAATAATAACGCCCGGAATCATAAACAAGTCAAACCAGACAGAAAAAAAACAATGCTGAATAATCAACCTCACCTGAAGAAAATGCTCTGAAAGGCAGAAAATTAGGTTAGAAAAGCCTTTATGCCACGCTTTCCTCAACCACAAATAAGATAAACAAACTATCAAACCAACTATGAACAAAGAAAGAATCTTGATAGCGGCTGTATTTCATGTTCCGGCAGCATTGAAAGAACACAAAAAGCTTGTATTTCTTGTTGCGGCAGCATTGAAAGAACACAAAAAGCTTAAAATCTTTATACACCACGGTAAACAAACTTCAAGATGCTGCATAAGTTTTTACGCATGAATTCACCTTTTAAAACATTGACAAATCTGTGACCAAGGTAAAAGCACACGCTAAAAATATATATTGTTCACGGTTTTTGTCGTAAATCAACAGACGAAATTCAAGATCTACACTAGAAAAACTCCACTGGCTGTCTGTAGGTGAACTTCAACCAGCTTAATAATCTTTTGCCAAGACAGACGCAAGCTGCGTGCTTTGGATTCCCCTTCGTCTCCCTTGCAGAGTATACTAAGTACCACCCCAGAGTCTACATGGTACCACCCCCAAAGAGTGAACGGACGTAATGGCGTACGGTCACGTGATTACCCAAATTTCTCGGATGGATAGATTACCAAATCAGTCTTAGCTAATGAAATTTAACTACTTAGCACATGATAACCAATCAAAATCAATGAAAAAGTAGTGGTACATTTTAATTGTTTTTTTTTCTTTTTGGAAAGTTCATCATGCGTTCGGGCTTCCACTTTCCGATGATTTCATCCAATGTTGCAACCGATGATGTCTTTGCTTTGGAATCTTTCTCTCACATTAATAAATATTTAAAGACTGAGATTCTTGCATTTTGTTATTGTCACTCAGTCCTATTGTTATTACTAATAGATATTACAATTATGAGGATAAACGCCTCTTCCTTTAAACGACTCATATCAATTATTAAAACGCCACGGCTTGCAACCCTAAAATTAAATAGACTTCCCGGGCATTTATTAGGTCACTTACGGTACGGTAGATAAAATAAGACAACAAAATAAAAGCACATTTTAGTTACATAAAGAAAGAAACGAGGCTATAATAGATCTTTTTTTAAAGTGTCTCCATAAAGTGTCCCTATTATGAAAAAAGAAAGAAAAGAAAATGAAAGAGAAAGAAAAAAGAAAAAAAATACACAATGGTGTTCTGTTATTTATTTCCTTTCATAATTTGCATGTAAGCTGTATCTATGCACTAGCTAGCTACTACTTTATCTCTGGCGTAGGCTTATAGGATAGCATACAAACCTAACAAGGTAATCTCCATATGCTGGACTCCTTCGATAATCGGGAAGTTAACAAGAGAAAATAAAGTAAAATAAATAAATGAATAACCGACTCACTTTGAACAGTCTCAGCTCGTTTGAATCTCTGGAAAACCTGGCTTTTCTTCTGTTTTTCAGTCGTCAAGTTTTTCTTTCCTGTAAACAAGAAAAAGGTATGAAATTCCAATGCGCAGAATGACAAGACAAAAGGGAAATAGAAAAATCTATGTTGATGATGATGATGATAATGATGATGACGAAATGATGACGAAATGATGATGAAAAGATGAGTTTGTACTGGGAAGAATCCACTTCACTTGTTCAGAGTGCGGGAATGTCAAGACTTGTATGCTGCAAATAAATGAATTATTTCTATGCTGTCTTCCCTTGCAGTGTTTATTACTAAATTTTGTTTCGATCGATTACCGCAAATGGCTGTCACCAAAGAAATTGTTCAACTTTTACCTATTTCTAGTATCTCTTGGCCAAGTTTATTTTGTTTTTGTTTTGACCTTAAACAATCACAGGGCACGAAACCGATATCCAGAAATGGTTACGGCCCGGACTGGTTGAGACGGTTTATGGACCCGATAGCTATGCCATGCTGACGAGCGCCAATAAGGGCGAAACAGCTGCCCATGGCTGCCACTGCCCGGGTGATATGGCTGTGCGCATGCGTGAGGTACTGGCCAGACCGTGGATTGGTGCATGCGTGCCCCTTGCTTTAAGTTTGTCTCAAGGTGTTGTTAGTCGAGGCGAATAACACTCTCCGAGGTCTGCATAATTATTCGGATCATACGAAAACCGAAAGTAATTATCGTGCTATTCTTTTTTCAAACAAAAGTCATACTTCAAAACAATACCTTCCTCGATTGATGTTTAGTGGCCGTTTTATGTTTGCCTATTCCTCAACAAGTTCGTGTTATTTAGCAATATATTATTAGCCAAAGGCGAATTTAATAATTGAGACAAGTGGACAATCCCCGAGAGGAAGCCGAGCGGATATACTATTATACAATATTTGACTGAGGATGAGTTGGTGAATAATTATTTTAGCACAATAACTTGCAGACAGGTGATTATTGGAGAGAAAATGAGGAAAACCATGGTTTAAAAGTTCTTTGTTTAAGCCTTACTTTTCATCTAAATACGGGTCAGCAAAACTAAACCCACCGCAAAAAGGGTAAGGGTAGAGGGGGATGCATTCTACCCACATTCGTTCTTTTCAGCTATAAAATGACATGCGATTTTGTTGTTTGATTTTTCCTGTTAAGAGAAAAGTGTATTTTTATAAAGACGATTGTTCTTCTGCCATCGTAGCTTGAATAAAAAATAAAACACAAACAGCGGTAATACTGTCAACGTGCACAACAAAAGATCTTTTTTTTTATCTTGTTAACATCAATACTTTCACATTGACTCCAAACTGATTATTCTAAAACAGGATGACTTCACTCTTGCAGATATTTTTCAAATAGAACGTTCATCACTCGATTTGTTTTGATATATTTATATATCTTTGTGATTTTGCTAAAAGGTGCCCGCTAAGTTTTCGCGTCTTGCTAGATGTCAGCAGAGAGCCCAGGCCGGAACCTATCCGTGGGTGGGTGGATTCCTTGTTTTGTGTGAAAACCAGGGGGGGAGGGTAGGGAGGGGAGATTTTTCACTTCGATTAGAGTTTTATGTCAGAAAGCAGTGCAAAGTCAGAGAATTTTTTCCTGTGGCCTC